GGTTGCTGAGGGTCGAAAACTGTAGGGAACATTATCCAGAACAACACTCGAGAAATGTTCGGTTAGCCGTAGCTCGAGCCAGCTGATTAAGGCTAACGCTCTAAATCGATACTCTCAGAACCTCAGAAACATTATTGGATAATCAGACTTCAAAAACGGGAAATATTTGGTGTCAAAACTCGTTCATTTAAACTCATAACGTGAAAAGTATACATGAATTGAAAATCGAAATGAAACGCGAATGTAATTCGCTCAATTTCTCTATTCCAAGGTGAATTTGCGCCTTTCACTGCCAGGTTTAATTTTATGAATTTTATCGAGTGAATCGTATCTCATCGCCACATTAAATCAACAAATAAAATTTATGTGTGAATATTTTTCGAAAAAAAATTTTCAGATAAATGCTACAGCTGTGCCTCAACAAACATGCTTCAGGTGAGTGAAAAGTTTTTTTCACAACTTCTAAAATCGCCTGTTGTTCACGTGGCAACAAAACCACATTGTCTAACTTAAAGAACTTTCTAAATGAGATCGTTGAGTGACTGACATGCGGACGAGCTAAACCGGATTAGAGAAGTGTATAATGTGCGAAAAAAACCAAACAAACTAACTGAAATGTGCCACAAGTACTAACGATGCAATACAAAATGCTATATAATAACAGTGAAAACTTAACTTTTTAAATTGCTTACGTAAACAACACACTTCACTTGTATTATTCTGCCAAATATAATGTTGTTCCTAATGGAATTGAACTTCTCTGAGTGGGCATAGACAAAGGCAAATTTTGTTCAACATCAAGGAGAAATTTGTTTCAGCAGTAATTTTTGCCTTTGAAAATGATGAATAAGAAACGATCGCGACGATGAGATAAGAGACTGATTTGATTCTTTGTTTGATGAGGCTTATTACAGAGTGTGCCCTTTATCGCTTGTCTGAAGCAACCAAAAATGTTGAAAAATAAGAAGCAAACGAGAATTTTGCTTCAATTCAATATCTCTTTTTGTATTAATTCAGTTATACGGCCTGAAATAAGTAATGTTTGTGATGAAACAAGTTGAGTTGCATAAAGATGACCGTTTTGTGAAGAAAATGCTGCTGATTAGATAAATACTTGCCGTTCAAATCTACTCACTAGCCTATACTCAGCATCGATTTCAGTAATGGATCTGAGGAAACATCGCCTTCCACGAAAAGCTTTTCATTCAACCAAACTTCTCCTCCTTTCTTCCCATCTGCGATTAAAAATCGCATGTTAACTTGACGGCTGATCCTAGGCTCCATTTGTACACATCGTTGACTGGTGACCGAAATAGGTGCAATTAAAACCTGTTAATTGGATAATAGGTATAAGCCGGATCATAGCCTGGCTCAGTAACGAATTCATTTGATCGCTCGTGTGATCAAATGTTTCTTTCTGAATTTCCGCCATGAAAAGTTCCAGATGAATTTTGCGAGTTAACGAATCTTTGTACGCCGTCCGAAGGTTCTGACGGAGTTTGAGGATTTGAATTCCAACCAATTAAGTTATTCGCAATTTTCGTACTACTCTTATTGGAGTCTCATTATTCTGAATTCCCGAGATTTGTTTCGTTGTTGGAATGGAAATGTGTGCAGTTGTCGAATAACTTTCGAGTGTATTGTTGGCATGAAATAAGAGTTTAGAATTTCACGACAAAGAATCGTGGTCCTCAAAAGCGAATCGCTGAACCGAAAGTGTACGATAATTTTTGCGATCTGGATGTTTGGATTTTGAAACGCAAAGGCACAGTTGAATGTGATGGCGCTTGCTTCAAATGGCAACAGATTATCGATAACTCAGGTTATTTGGTGCAATGTCAATTATTCATTCATGCATTCATTTCGCTAAACTACGCAATTTCCAGTCATGAATTACAACGCTAAGTTCAGCAGATCTGAATTAGAAGATTTTATCGATGAGTTCAGTGATTTTTGGCGTGAACTATTTCCACGGTACAATCGGCGAGTAGACGGTTAATAAAGAAGCCATGGGATGAAAACAGCTGATTAGTTGTCTTCTGTGGAATTCTTTATAGATGAAATGAACTTTTGAAACGATCTGATATTCGTAGCTTATGAATAATTTCTCATCGATGCATCATGTGTAATTCGTTAAGGCTCATATTCGTATATGACAATGCGTTCGTGCTATAATGAGATGTTCGATATGAAGGACCCTTTAACTGCACCTGAACCGGATGATTTTTACTGCTCATCCAAGTAACATTTTTCTGGCATTCGATTTCTTCAGTATCTCCATAATCCCACTCGTTCGATTCTCGGTAAAACCATTAGGGATACAAAAGTATGGGTGGGTGAAGCGTTGTTCCCATCAATATGACCCCTACAGTTTGAACTTATGGCAGATGATCTTTATATTTAGCTTCTTTGGATATAAAGACGAATCATTCTTAATGAGGTAGTTTCTGCAAATTTCCTATCCTGAAAAAAAACTCCCCGCGGTTGTTTCTCATCGAACTGATGCATCTGTCCACTATTGTCATTATAATTATAATTATAATTCTTGCTACCATCCAGAGAAATTCGTTTATTGATTTCAGGTCATCCCCGTTGGACTGTATACCAGATGTGAATCTTATCGATAATATATGCTGGTGTCAAGGTGATTATTGCAATGAAGCGGTCGCTAAGAAATTGAGCAATGGCTTNAATCAATTTCTGATCAATTCATCGTTTTTTCGTTGATCTCAGCTTGTTTAAATCCTCTCTCGATTCACTGTTTAAATCATTGTAATGTCATCTGAAGAAATCGTTCAGGAGATACATAGCATCACAAATTTCTCCGAGATTTCAAGGTTCGCTATGGTTTGTAATAAATAGTTTCTTTGATTTGTATTGTTTTTTTTATACATCATTTTATGAGATATACGGCATTTGTGCACAATCAGTGCCACTGAGATAGTTTTCCGAGCGATTTATGATCAAGAACTTATTTATTCGCTCATTGAATGAGAATGTTAATGGATGAGGATAAAGGAAGTGAATATCGAGTATTGAGGGTTGTAATGAACAGTGAATGCGTTGATTCGTGGTTCAGATGAAGCAGTTCTCAGTCTTGAAGTCAAATGAACTCAACACGTGTCCTTTAAATCACGTAACGCATTTCAGTGCTGTAATTCTCATTGATTTCGAACAATGACTTATGTCACGTCACGTCTAACTATTACATTTGGCTGCATTGTGCTCTTCTTTGCATTCTGGAATTGTTCCGCTTTCAAGATGTTTAATCCATTCGAATAGCTGACAGTTGTGCAACTTAACTCTGGGTTCATTTGGCGCACTCGAACTACAGCTGGGAACTTACGATTAGACAAACTTGCTTTGGAAATTTGGAAGGGGACATGTCTTGAATGAGGAACCGTTATGCTCGGACTTTTTATTCTTACATCACACGGTTGTTTGTTTTATTTTCATGTTCTTTTGTTGCTGTTTCGTTGTTTCTCATCTTGATTGTTAATGTTAACCATTCAGTTGTTAATTAAATATTGCTTTGTAAGAGGCGAGATTGAGAAATAAAATACACTTCCGCGTTCACTTATCTGACTCTAGTCTTCGAAAAAGAAGTAATTTTTAAGCAAATGTCGCAACGAAGAATGCTTGCATTTGTTCGTTATTACCAACTGACGCTTGCTCCGGAATGTTGAAGCATCGAATTCTCTTCGCGAACAGCTCTTCGAAGCAAACAATTTTTTGTTTTATGCATTGCGAGAAAGCTATTTTGATAATTGAAATACCATCAAATTTCAAAGTGAATTCCGTGAATTCATGAATGGAATTTACTTTGAAGTATTGACGATTCTCGAGAAATGCAGATTTTATGATAACAGTCTTCCTGAACGATCCAACTCGTTGCTGACTACCTGATGAAATATTCAAGCTTGAG